TTGACACTACACAGAATTTTCAGTATTATTCATCAGCACCACAATTTAACTACTGACCTTCCTTAGTCTATATTCAACTTTCAAAGGCATATGAGGCCATTGAAAATACCATGGCTGGGTTAGGTGCATCTTAGTCCTCAAAGTAACATCCTTGCTTTTCAATACTCCAAAGAGGGCTCGTGCAGCAGATTTATCCAGTGCAATGCATCTGTTGATCTCCTTACTGCTGCTTCCCTGAGCATTGAATGTGGACACAACAAGATGCAATCCTGGACAGCTTCAGCCTTTTCTCCATTTATCATGATGTTGTGTACTGGTTCAGTGGGGAGGATCTTGGTCTTCCTTACACTGAGTTGTCATCCATACTGAAGGCTGCAATCCTTGATCTTCATCAGCAAGTGCTTCACAAGTCCTCCGCACTTTCAGTAAGCAAAGTTGTGTCGTCTGCATATCTCAGGTTGTTCATAAACCTTCCTCCAATCCAGAAGCCACATTTTTCTTCATATAATCCAGCTTCTCTGATGATTTGCTCAGCATATCGATTGAACAAGTATGGTAAGAGGATACAACCTTGATCACACCTTTCCTGATTGTAAACCATGCAGTATGTTCTTGTTCTGTTCACACAGGGGCCTCTTGATCCACGTACAAGCTCCACATGAGCACATGTGTTCCCATTCTCCTCAAGGTTATTCATAATTTGTCATGATCCACATAGATAAATGCCTTGGCATGGTCAATAAAACAAAAATAAACATATTTCTCTTATTCTCTACTTTGAGCCAAGATCCAGCTGACCTTAGCAATGATATGCCTTGTTCCACAGCCTCTTCTGAATCCAGCCTGAAATAAATAAATACGTACATACACACATTTTCACATCAACATTTTTAAGTGTACAATTCCTCATCATTAATTGCATTCATCAAATTGTAGAACCATCACCACTCTGCATTCCCAAATGCTTTCCACCACCTTGGATAGCAACCCAGTACTTTAAAAAAAAAAACACAAAAAACTCCCATGTCTGCCTCCTCCCAGCTCCCGGTAGCCACATATAAAATTTGATTTTATGCATATGCCTATTCTAGCTATTTTATGTAAATAAGATCATATAATATTTGTCCTTTGGTGTCTGACTTCTTCCACATAGTAGCATACGTCAGAGAATAACTTCTTTTTATCATTGAACTATATTTCATAGTTCAGACATATCACTTTTTTTAATCCATCTATTCTTTGATCAACATTTAGAATATTTTCACTTTCTGGCTACTGTGAATAATGTTACTATGAACATCAGAGTACAGGTATTTGGTTTTGTTCCTGCTTTCAATTCTGTAAGGTACTGTATATACTTGTGTATAAGTCGAGTTTTCAGCACGTTTTTATTGCCGTTTTCGTGGTAAAATTAGGTGCCTCAGCTGATAATCGGGTCGGCTTATACTCAAATTGCTAGGTTATATGGTAATTCTGTTCAATTTTTGGAAAACTGCCAAATTATCCTACAGTGACTATACTAGTTTATATTCCCATCAGATGGGGTTCAAATTTCTTCACATCCTCCAAACCCTAGTTATTTTCCATCTCTCTAATTATATTTATCCTATTGAATATGAAGTAGTGTTTAATTGTGGTTTTTGATTTGTATTTTCTTGATGCCTAATGACTTTGAGCATCTTTCAGCAACCTCATGACCCCTTTGTATAGCTTCTTCAGTGAAATGTCAATTCAAGTCTTTTGCCTATATTTTAATCGGGTACCTTTTTGTTGTTGAGTTCCATAAATTCTTTATATTTTTTGCCTATGAAACGCTTTTCAAAGATATGGTTACCAAATGTTTTCTCTCATTTTATAAGTTGCTTCTTCACTTTGTTGATGAAATCCTTTGATAAATAGAAGCGTTTCATTTTGATGAAGTCTAGTTTATCTAATTTGCTTACTGTTGCTTGTCTTTTGGTGTTATAGCTAAAACTTCATTGTCAAAAACTAGGTGCCACAGATGACAGCTTTCAATATATGGAACTCGGGATAGACAAACCCCTTAAGAAACTGTAATGGGAGTAGCAATTCCAGGAGGGCAGAGGTAGGAAAGGGGGAACAAGAAAGGGAAGTGGAAACAGACAGCAATGATGGTGGAATAATCCCCCTCGAGGGGGACAAATTCAGGATAGTAGGTGAAGGGATAGAATGGGTGGTGTAAGATATGTATAAATAATAACAATACATAATATATTAAGGGTTCATGTTGTGGCAGAGTGGGGGAGGGAGGGAAAAAACAGGAGCTAAATATCAAAGACCTCAAGAAGAAATTGATGCCAACAAATGTACGTGTCCGCTTGATATAATGGATGTTTGGATTGTTATCATATATGTAAGAGACACCAATAAAGTGATTTATTAGAAACAAAAGGAAGTTAGTTGCCAAATCTGTATCCCCATGTTTTCTTCTGAGAATGCTGTGGCTTTAGCCCTTATGTTTAGCTCTGAGTAAACCATCTGACATCATCTGGCTGCAGGAAGAAGGAGAATCTAAATCCGCCCAATTGCTATAAGGCAGAGATCAGACAGGGTTCCACCCTCCACCCTTCCTGACCTGATTCTGATACCAGCCCTTCCTCCCGTGCCACTCAACTTTTCTCCTGTGTTCCATCATTGGTTGCAAAGGCCACACAACTCACAGACAATCCTCACAAAGGGAGCCATTAGGGAAGTTAACTGGTTATAAGCCAGGATCTGTAAACAATAAGGATACACTCATTGGTCCACAGTAACATCTCTCCTCAGCCAATAGCCAACCCTGTCTCCAGTCTTGCTACTCTTAGCAATGTGGTTCTTTGACTTCTGCTTCATTGGGTCAGGAAGCGGACCCGCTGCTCTGCCTCACAGTCTCTCACAATCTTGGTGCTGTTCCTCTGCTCTGACTCATGGTCCCTTTGCTTCAACCTCTGGTCTCGACTTGGCTCCTTTGCTGAGTCCTATGGTCTCCATGCTTCAGTCTCTGGTGCCTCTAGTCTCAGCCTCCATCATTTCAGGTAGTGTTCTTGACTATGATCCATGGGTAGCTTTTCTTCCTAGATGGTCCTGGGATCCTTGCTGTTTCTGCTTCTGAGATGGCTAATCCTTCTAGCTGGGGAAGAGGCAACTAACACTAACCAATCCCCTTTATGTTACAGGCCCTATTTGCATAGTCTCAGTAACTTGGTGCAAGTTACAGAGGGCCAGAGAGAAGAATAATGAGAAGAAGAATTTGGAGAACAGAATAGGAGAAATAGAGGGGAAAAGTGCAGTTTATGTTCATGTAAATTTTGACCCAGAAAGTGTATTAGTGAGCATATAAGCTAAACTGCTCTAACAAAAAAGACTCCCAGAATTCAGTGGGTCAAAGAAAATAGACAATTGTTGTTCTTTTATACAAGATGAGTCGTGGGAGAGTGACTCTGTTTTACAATGCTGTCCAGTGAGTCAGATTTCCTATATCTCATGGGTTCCCTGGAATGGTATTTTGCTGAAAATTAACAAGCCTGACTTATCAATATTATGTCGCCATGCAGGATATGAACTAGAAATTGCATACAGTGCCCTTGCGGAGTCCCCACTTGGTTCTAGCCTCCATGGAATTCCTTCTGACCATGAAACAGGGATGTGAATTGTCTGGCCCTCAGAGTGTATTAGAAAGTGGATTTCCACCACCTTCTTAGCCAGCCTGGGCGAGACAGTCTCCCAGACTCCCTTACAAGAAGTGTATCCTTGATGGGGGTTGCCATACTGGGGTCACCTAGTCATGCCCTGACTGCCTTGATCAGAAGGCCCTGGACCAATCTTGTAAACTCTTCCATGTAGCATGCTGTGCGTGTTCTAATCATAGTCCCATTCCCAACTCTATATTCCCACCCGCAACTATGATGTATTCATCTCCCACCAATTATGCTTATGTGAGTGTCCTTTGTCCTCCCATGTCCTATTTAAAACTCAACTTCTCTCTAAACCCTTAGATCCGTTATGATTTCATGCTAATGGTCTCCCTCATCTGGATCATGTGTCTTTGTCTTGTCTTTTCCTGTTTACTACTTAGTAAATGTGCCCTAAATTATATTTGGCATTTGGGGTCTCTTTTGTCCCCTAAAACTCAAGGCCACACCAAGTGACAAGGAAGGCAGGGGCTTGTAACCCAGCTTATTCAAAGGGAAAAGGAGCATGGGTACTGGGGAAGGATCCTGTCACACAGAGCGAGTCTCTCCCTCTGACGGGGCTTGACTGGAAAGGAACTGAACCCCAAGACCTGGAGACACCGTTGCCTTGTGTGCTCCCCTTTACAAAGTGTGTCTTTTCTGAGCCACACAGCAACTCAATCATTAAAAAAGGTGAAGAAGAGCAGCTAACATCTGCTCTCACAAAGACTTAGGTTAGATCAGAACAATACAGCTAGTAAGTGATGTGGTTGAGATTCAACCTCAGATCTGGACTTCTAACTCTAGCCAACAAGTAAAGGACAAATCACAAGCTTGAGGTACTCACGTCCCCAAGCTCTTTTCCACCCCGCTGCGTCACCCCCATCCTCAGTGCGTCCTTGTCACATGGGTACGTGTGCAAGGCTATCACCTGGGGAAGAGTTTCTTACAGAACCAAGGAGGTTGCTAAGCTTTCATACAGGGATCAGCTTTTCACTAAGAGGAAATGCTATACCAGATTCAAGTAAACATCTTCTCATCTGTGGATCTGAAGGGACTGCATTCTTACTTGCCCTTGGGAGATTTGCTGAAAATGGTAATGTAATCAACCACTGATTGGGTTGATATTCACCAATCCTCAGCCCTTTTTGCACCTGTTCAGCTCCTTTGACCTAAGAGGATATGCAAAAGGGGTGGGGTGGAGGAGAATCCTGTGATTGTGTTCCCATGTGAAGGGGAGGAGCCCTTCATTCCACTGTCTGAGGCGCTCCTGTATAAGCAATGACCGCCCTGAACAACTACAGAGCCTTTGATAAACAAGCAGTCAGCATGGCCGATAGCTCCAAATTTATTGAGTACATTGATGAAGCTTTGGAAAAATCAAAAGAAACAGAACTTTCCCGTCTATTTTTCACCTATCAGGGGATTCCTTACCCGGTCACCATGTGCACCTCAGAAACTTTCCAAGCCTTGGACTCCTTTGAAGCCAGAAGCGATGACATAGTGCTTGCATCTTATCCAAAGTGTGGTAAATAGCACATCATCTCATACCAGGGCATGTTTGCATAGTGAGCAGGGGAGGGGAGGGGAGAAGACAAAGGTAGGAGGAGGTCAGTTAATGTCTGCAGGAAGTTAGCAGTTGCTCATTGCTAGAGCTGCCAGATTTAAAAGCTCCAGTATTTTCAGGGAGAAGTGTGTGTGTCAAGAAGGGCAGGGTGGAGGGTGGAGGGTTCTAGAAGTACATAGGTGATGGGGATAGAAAGCAGAGACAGGCTGCAGGGAAGTCCAGTTGCCATTGAGCATCGATCATAATGGAGACTGGTTTTGACTGAAGATAAAAACTTGGTAGTGCCTGTAATTGATATGACAATTTCTATGTTAGGATTTTTTTTTTTAAGCATCAAATGTTAATCCTTCAGTTTCTCGAAGCAAGTTTACAAAGATCTCTCATCAATGGAAGAGAAGGCACTATGATTCTAAATGATCTGGTTTTCATTCATCGCCATCCAACTGCTGCCGACTCATAGTGATTCTGTAGGACAGGGTGGGACTGCCCGGTGGGCTTCAGAGACTGTCACTCTATGGGAGTAGAAAGCCTCAACTGTCTCCCTGGGAGTGGCTATTTGAACAAAGACAGAAAAGGAGCACGGTCTCTTGTTGAAGAGAAATCAGAGAAATGGGCATTAGTTGAATGTTAGTAAATGTTGTTTCCACAATAATCTGTGCGTTCCTCTGCTACCTGCTACCCCAGAGCCAGCTTATTTTCAATGCAGAGGAAACTTTTGTACACCTCAAGTCATGCTTGCAGAGCTTAATCTTATAACGTATATGCTAAAGACGCATGCTTTCATTCCATCGTGACCCTTTAATGAGTCACTTGAATTTTCTGATTTCTCTCACAGGTTCCAATTGGCTTCTCCATATTGTCAGCGAGTTAATAATGGCTGTTTCCGGAAGCAAGTATCAATGTCCAGAATTCCCAGTTCTTGAATGCGGAGACCCAGAGAAGTATCAGGTTAGTACAAAGCCGTACAAATTAGTACAAAGCCATACAAAGTATCATAGAAAGAATGCTTCCATTTGGGGGATTCTTTAACTTTGAGTTAGAAAAAATAAACTAGTAATCAATGAATAATTACTACAAATTTGTTATGTGTTCACCATACTCCCTGCCCATTTTAGGGATTATCTTTGATCTCAAAATAAGTTTATTATCATGTTGCAGAAGATCAAGCAGTACATGACTTGCTCAAAGTACAAGTGAAAACAAAGCCAGAAAGAGTTGCCACCAGGTTGATTCTGACTCGAGCCGACCTGTGTGCAGAGTAGAATTCTGTCCCAGACCAACAGTGTCTCAAGGCTGACTTGTTTGGGAGGCAGGTCACAAAGCCCTTCTGAGGCTCCTCTGGGGAAGGGTTGAGTCACCAACCTTTCAGTTAGTAGTCAGGCCCTTACCTATCCCTCAAAGCACAAAGCCACGATTTGAACCTGCTTTCTTTTCTTCTCTCCCACCACCTCCCCTGCCTTTTCCCTTTTAAAACAATATTTAAGGTCTGATCCGATGACCCATTTATATGCTAAAAATCTCAAAAGACTAACAGGCAGGCAAGGAGAGATGTTGAGAGGTAAGAAATGAATGGACCAATGGAAGTCCCATTAATTTATCCTACTGAGGCCATTGTCGGACTTTTTCTTGTCAAGAAAGTGTTTATCATTATATTTTAAAGGATGTTGGCATTTGCCCAGTCCTAGCTTCCCTTTTAAAAACATCATACATAATGAGTCATAGGTCATTCTCACCTCCCCAATGTGCATTGGGCTGCTACTCTCAAGGTCAGCAGTTCAAAACCACCAGTGGGAGAAAGGCAAGGATTTCTACTCTTGTGAAGAGTTATAGTTTCTGAAACCCATATGATCTGTTCTATGGGGTCTCTATGAGTTGGAATCAACTCGATGGCAGTGACTCTGGTCTTGTGTGTGTGTGTGTGTGTGTGTGGTGTTACCTATTGCGGTAATCAACAATTCCATCTTATGATGGAAGTAGGCTTCGGTGGACTGGTGTATCCCATTTTACATTATTTGCAGCATTCTTCTCCAGCATTGATTTTAATTCCCAAACAATACTTTGGAATATGAGTGAGAGCTTCCTGTTCTGTTGCTTACTGACATAGAGAAGAGTTTTTATTGCAAATCAAAGTTTTGACAGGGCACCACTCAGTCCCGAGCTTAAGCAACCACTATTCTTGGACTCTTTTTCTCCTCAAGAAAAACCTGGTTTTCCTCTTCCCAGTCCGGAGTTCTTCCCGCTTCACCAAATACGTTTGGAGGAATGTATTGCTTCATCTCCGGGTCCTGGCATGCTAGCTCTTACCTCCAGCTATGGAATTAAATGTTGTCTTTCCCACTAAGGGATTCTCAAAGTTAGCCAAAAAGGTTCTGAAGATTTCTCAAAGTCCCATCGACCTTCTAACAGCATCGAAGCACACAAGATTTCACACTGCTGCTGAGTTGATTCTAACTCATCCTGTTGTTGTTAGGTGCCATCAAGTCAGTTCTGAGTCAGAGCGACCCGATGTTCAATAGAAGCCGTAACGCCTGGTCCTGCACACCCTCAACATGGTCCGTATGTCAGAGCCTATGTTGGAGCCAGGGTGTCAATCCGTCTCGTTGAAGGCCCTCCTCTTTTCTGCTGCTGCCCCTCCACTTCACCAAACACGATATCCTTTTCTACCAATCGTGATATCTTTTTCTCTCCTGATAACACGTCCAAAGTACATGAAACAAAGTCTTGCCATCCTTGCCTCTAAGAAGCATTCTGGTGGTACTTCTTCCAAAACAGATTGGTTTGTTCTTTTGCCAGTCCAGGATCCTTCCAATATTCATGAAATGTGCTGCTATTTGAATAGCACAATTCAAAAGCATCAATTCTTTTTTAGTCATCCTTATTCAAAGTCCAACTTTCACATGCATAGGAGGCGATTGAAAAATACCCTGGCTTGGGGAAGGTGCACCTCAGTCCTCAAAGTAACATCCTTGCTCTTCACCACTTTGAAGCTGTCCTGTGCGGCGGGTTTACCCAATGTAACGTGTCCTTTGATTTCTTGACTGTTGCTTCCATGAGCATTGATTGTGGAAGCAAGAGGAAATCTTTGACACCTGTAATCTTTTCTCTGTTTATCATGATGTTACCTATTGGTCTAGTTGTGAGTTGAGACTCATACTGATGCCTTGCCAACCCTACATAGGGTTTTGTGGCTGTAGATATTTATCAGAGGAGACAGCCCCAACTTTCTCCCTTGAAGCAGCTGATAAATTCTAAAGGCAGACCTTTCAGTTAGCAGTCCAACACTCACCCAAAGGTGCCACCAGGGCTTCTTGAAAGCATCAAACTAACATTACTATGTAGTGCAAAGTGAGTAAGGGAAAGGATCCTAGCTCCAGGGTTTCTGGGGGGAAAATGTTTTATGTCTATACAGTGTAATGTGTTTTGAGGTTATGGATGTCCAGGGTTTTCAGAAATATTTTTGTCTTCAGTTGTTACTTTTAAAGGGTAATTTCATTATACCAGGGACAAAGACATTTGCAATGTGTCTTTCTTTTTTTATATATATAAAAAGTTCAAATCATTTTATTGGGAGCTCTTACAGATATCATAACAATGCATAGTTCAATCACATCCGGTAGTATTGTACACTTGCTACCCCAATCAGTTTCAAAACATTTTCTTTCTTCTTGAACTCCTTGACATCAGCTCCCCATAATCCTCTCCCCTCTCCAGGAACCCTTATTTTTCCCCCTATAAAAGGTTGGGGTTTTTTTCCGTCTCTTACACATGATCCAATATATCCATTCACATACAATTCTGTTGATTGATCCCACCCAGTGTGGTTATACAGTCATCAATGCTATCAGCTCCCCATTCCTCCCTTCCCACACCACCCCCTTCTCATACCCACAGGGAACCATTACTCCTGTTACTGTTTCTGAAGGGTCATCTAACTTGGCTTTCATGTTCTGAACAATCTTAAATACACAAATGAACATACACTAATTTAACATGATTAATGGGGTAAAATAAGTGAAAACCATAATAGGAAGAGGAGGAAATATGAAAGAACTAGAGGGTAGTTATGTGGTTCATCAGTGGTATACCACACCCTGGATTTTTCATCGCTTCCGTGTGGTCCTTCTGTGTGGGACTGCCCAATTATCTTGCAGGTGGATTTTGGGTCTGGTCTCCACTATGTCCATGCCCCTTCACATCAATTTGGTTTTTGAACTTCTGATACCTTTTCCTGTCGACACCTCATGATCACACAGACCAGTGTGCCTGTTCCATGTGGAGTCTTTCATTTAAAAATGGGAACCAGTAAGATGTGATTCACTTAACACGTAGTTATCCACTTTACAGAAATCTCTTCTAGATTGCATATGTGTCCTTATCAAGGCACATCACTCAACCACTAACCAAATGGTTGGTGGTTCGAAACCTCCCAGAGACACCTCAGAAGACAGGCCTGACAATCTACTTCTGAAAGGTCCCAGCCTAGAAAACCCAGTGGAGCTGTGGCAGTCTGCACCCGTGGGAGCACGACAACTGCATGACAACTAGTATCAAAACCAGTGTTGTTCGTGGGTTGGCTATAGCATCTCTTCTCACATGTTACATTTTGTTCAAGTTTTGTTACAGTCAACTCCCATTACCTTATTCAATGTTTTTCTATCTCTTTGAGGAATGTTACCGCTTCTCAAATATCCTTGTGTGATTTGTGGCAGTGCAGTTTAATGGAAAGAATACTGTTAATCTTAAAATAGAGAACAAACTTAATCTGAAAATTACCACGTTAAGCATGGTTTTGGACAGCACGCTTAACGCCTCCAAAACTTGTGTCCTAATCCCTAAAATGGTAGTTACAACATTGACTTGAGAGGATTGTGTGGATGAATGTCAAAACACTTCAAAAACAGAACAATGCAATTCAATGTAGATCAGATATGATTACTACTGCCACATGGGCTCAGAGTATTGATTTCAATGTTTTAATTTTTATTTTTTAGTCTTATGTTTGTCCCTTCGCTTGAGTTGGGTTTTCCGCTGAGTTTTCACAGAACAATCAGCTATAAAAGTCTAAGTATCCTACTATCCCTTGACATGACTAGGTAGGTCATTGCCAGATGGCCCAGCAGTGATCTCCACAAGTTGGGGCTGAAAGCTTGACTCTTGAGCCCTTGTAAACATGTCCGAAAAGTCTAGATTTTTGGCCCCAATGGATTCAATAATTTCATTTTTAAATTATCAATAGAAATCAATGATAATAAAAAAATCAATCACAGAGTATTTATACTAATAGGAATTTCATAAAATATTTTTCAGACATTTAAGCGAGTCCCTGGACTTTCAGGCTCTATTGGGACATTGGATTGCATGGAGTTTTTTGCTGTTTGTTTGTTTGTTTTGATGTTTGTTTTTTTTAACCTAAAAATGTATTTGTAGGAGCTATGGCAAGACAGGTATTTCTGCAAAAGTCCTTGGATTGAGAAGAGGTTCAAATTAATTAAAAGAGCAAATGGCAAATTATGAGCTTCCTCGGACAAAATATGTTCAGGATGATAATGAGGAAAGGCACAATTTTTTTTTAATGACAAGGTTGGAGAATGGTAAGCAGGAACCAACAGTGAAATTAAAGAGAGAGAGTTTAACTATTTGTTTATTTACAACCCTCCATTTCTCATCTGCCTAAGGAAAGTAGAAATAAAGAAAAATTAGAGGAGGAGGAGGAGGGACAGTAAAGTCTGAAATTTCCACTCGGATTCAAAACTAAGAGCTATTTTTTGTAACTTTATCTATAAATAAGGAAGCCCCAGATTGGTGGAAATCACTAATGTGCTTGACTCTCAGTCATAAGGTTTTGAGTTCAAGTCCACCAGTTGAACCAGCAGAAGAAAAGCCTGGCAATGTGCTCCCAAAGCTTATAGTCGTTGAAGACCCTTTGGAGCACGGTATACCAGTATACCTAGGGGGCCATACATAGGTGCGGACTTGTCAACAACTAGTTTATCTCCGTATATACCTCTACCTTATTGTGTGTGTGTGTTTAAGAGAATGAAACAGTTTCCATCACCAAGAATTTTGGCAACTCATCTCCATTATGACAAGCTACCTGGGTCCATTTTCAAGAATAATGTCAAGGTGAGTGTCTGTTCCTACTGGCATTCCAATCTGAAATTTGTCTGTCTAGCTATTGGCTCTCTGCGTGATGTGATAGAATTTTAATGGGGTATGGGGCTTAGTAGTTCTTTTGTTGTTGTTAGAAGCCCTGGTGGGCATCGTGGCTAGGAGCTGGGCTGCTGACCACAGCAAGGTCAGCAGTTTGAAGCCATCAAACTCCATCTCCATCTTCCTCTGGAGAAAGATGAGGCTTTCTGCTCCCGGGAAGAGTTATGGTCTTGGAAACCCACAGGGCCACTCCTCCCCAGCCCTCCCGTGGTCATGAGTCGGGATTGACTCCATGGCCGTGGGTCTGGATTGTTTGTTGTTGTTTCTGTTATTTCTCTCTTCAGGAGTATTTGTTACAGTTTCATTCCAACCAAATGCATCTATCAAACACTCAAGGAGTGAAATATCTTTACAACCTGTTTTGTAACGAGCACATTCCAGAAACACACAGGATACTTCAGGGAGTTTAACAAAGGAATCCAACCTCCTAAAATGAGTAAACATTGTTCCTTGGGCTCTTTCTGGAGATAACTTCCTAAAGTCTGAAACTATTATATTTTGAGTTCTGCAGGTACTATCAAACTTTATGCCATGCTTGCACAATTATAGGTGGTTTGGCTGGCTTCATCATTTGTTTTAAACTTTTGTTTCATTAATCGGTACCAGTGTATATTAACCGATACACTTCCTATAATTACTAAATCTTGCCCAATTCTTTTTGCTTTCTGTCACTACCCTGCTGGTGTAGTGGTTCTGCATTGGGCTGTGATCTGCGTGGTCAGCAGTTTGAAACCACCGGCAGTTCCGCTGGAGAAAGGCGGGGCTTTCTACTCCCATAAACAGTTACAGTCTCAGAACTCACAGGGGTCGCTATGGTTCCATGACGGCGAGTGAGCGAGTGAGTCACTTGGCTCCCCCTCCATGAGGGAAAGAGGGACAGTCCGCTTCCCTAAAGACTGATCCCCGGAACCATGGGGGGGGGTGGGGGCAGTTCTACTCTATCCTGCCGGGTCCCTGTGTGTCTGGAGCAACTAAATGACAACGGCTTTGGTTTTTGTCTTTTTGGTTTGGTCTCCTCTCCATTTTAAATGTCTTGGTGCCTCTTTTCTTGCTGAAGAAATGGATTACAGTAAATCACAATCAATTTTTAAAGACTTGAATGCTACTAATAAAAATGAGAGGGGGGGAAAAAACAACACCCAACTCTTGGTAGTGGAGCCATTGGTGCAGATAATGCAGTAATAGCAAAGAAGGACCAAGTGGGTGAAAACGGTTCACATGCCTGCAATGGTGAAGGAGGAAGCCAGGAATTAACCACAAGGGAAGTGCGCTCATTCTGACCCTAGTGGCTGCCTTTGAGCAGAACAGCCCCCTAGGCGGCTCTGAGAGGTGTGTGAGGCTGTTAATATTTACCCGAGTAGCAAACCTCCTGAGGAGCAGCTGGTAGTTTTCAAACTGCCGGCTTTGCGTTTAGTAGCCTACGGCATAAGCACTGAGCACACCAGCAGGGCTCCTTAGGAAGTGACGGAATTGTCTGCATCTAGAACCAGAAAATACCTTACTGGTTGTCTATCTAGGCCCCATTAGCTGCCTGAATTCCACTAACTGGCTGTCTGAATTATAACGGAGGGCCTCCAATAATGAGGGAGCTCCTCACGCACCAGGCCAGCTTTGGGCAGCTCTGTGAAGTAGGTCTTCCTTGTTCTGACACATTTGAGAAGTTCTGTAAGTAAAAAGGCCATGTGAACATAATTTCCCCTATTAAATGCAATTAAGGGTAACTACAAATTCTAGGTGACTCTGTTTGTCTCTTAACGACTCTGTTAGCAACCGGGCTACGACAACTCATAAACTTAGAGCGGGCAGGCTTCTGAGCAGCGCCTGTCTGGTCCTGTGTCACGCTCTTGTACAGGGACAAGAAAGGAGACCCAGAGCTGTGACTCGGATTTCATCCATCCACCAGCCTCTTGGTCCCCACAGTTTAAATTTGTATCTTTATACAAGTATAATTTTCTACAAGCCCCAGTAATCAGCATCTCAAATATAAATAAAAATAGAAAATAAATTCCAAATAAACTTATTTCTAAAGAGAGTGGAGAGGATTTTTAGATCTGCACACACAATATCAGCCCATGCCCACCCCCACTATGTAACGCCAGTCCGAGGTATCCTGTCAGCTCCTGGCTTGTGACTCTCACGATGTTTTGGAATTCCAATTCTTCCCTCCTAGCTTTGTGTCCAATACAAATTTAATAACTGTACATTTTATATCTTTACTTGAATCACTTACTAACACATTCACTACAGTGAAGCCAGGATGGAGGAAATGTCATTAAAATATCCAGGGATATTACATGAATTTTATATGAATTACTTAGCATTGTTTTCACATCCGTGCCTGGTCATTTTAAATGTCTTTAAATTGCACAGGAAATCATAAATAACAATCTACTACTCCAGACATCATGCCCCTCACAACCTGATGTTAATCAGCGGTGACTTGTTCTTAGAGCAACCACAGCGCCACCTGTTGACCGATGCTTCCTCTTTTATGTCGCCTCAAACCACCCATTTAGCCCTTTCCAGAAAATCCTCCTAAGTGAAAGTCAGGATGTTTCTATTTTTGCAAAATTCACATCTTTTACTTTCTCCTTTATGAAAGTGAAATGACTGGCTTCTGAATTTCTAGCCCTCTGACCCTTATGCCCTTTCTCCGATACCTCAGCTGCCATTAGCAGCACTTACTAGCATATCCTTCCATTTTTGTTCACTCCATGAAGTGCAAATCCAAGGTCAGGAAGTCTAACCTCATCTGGAGCAGCCAGTGGGGTCCTACCACCTCCTGGGTCTCTGGGGATTGGGTGGACCCTTTACAATGTTTACTTCACGCTTCCTCCTCAGAGAGGACAAAGAGACCATGTCACGTGTACAGCTCCCATAAACATGCTACTTTGCACTCCCCAAACTAAACTCGTCCGTGCTCTAATCTTTCTCACCAGAATTTAAGAATTATTTCCATTGTCCGTAGCAGTAGTTTGCCATTTCCACTCAATCTTGTGGGTTTAGCCTCTCAGGTCACGTTCAGGGCACTGTTCTGGTGAGCTTGTTCTTTTCGTTCTTTCTGTTCAGTCTCCTGTACATCCCTTTTACCTTCTAAACTCATTAGCAGAAGTTCTCTGCTACACTATCAATTTTATTTTCCTGCATCCTATCCTCTGACGTCCTCATCTGCCACCGCCGGTTCCCCCATTTCTTACTGCCATCCTTTCCCTACCTATGAATATGAACGGCTCCAAAGAGTTTGTGTGGGAAGAAATGGAATTCAAAGATAATGGCATGTTCTTACACTTGATCTTAGCCAAAAGGCCGAGAAACAATATTGGCATGTTCTTTTTGGAGCCCCTTATACAAATAAAACTGTGTCTCATAGGAGAAGACACAAGGATGTTGTTCACCCTTTCACTTTTTCAAAGCTCAAAACATACATCCAAATAAGTGACATTTGTTTCCTCCTTAGATACTTGTGTTATTTCGAAACCCCAAAGATACGGCGGTGTCTTTTTTCCATTTCCACAACGACGTGCCTGATATTCCAAGCTATGGCTCTTGGGATGAATTTTTCAAGCAATTCATGAAAGGACAAGGTATGACTGATAATAATACTAGTAAGAAATTATTCTTACATCAACAGATGACCACATAACTTTGAAAATTCCAACATGGTTTTGGGTTAAAAAGATTCAGCACCCAAGGACCAAAGCATCACATTTAAGTTGGATTTTGTAGCACCACTAGTTCCATGTACTAAATGATTAAAATAGATCGCTGTTTGTAGAAATAACTTAGATCATTCATATGTTGACTATGAGTATTGAGTGGCCATAGAACAGACATGGGACAAAGAGGCATATTACAGTGAAGACCATTTCTAATTAATGTCTCTTAAGTCTTTAGAGGAGACAATGAGAAGAACAAAGAGCATAAATGGCAAGACCATGACACTGAGCATTTATACCTGTGACATGTGTTTGCTACAAAGAGAATAAGCACACTTTTGTTGTTAGACTGTGTCAAAGTTTAACCTCTGGTTGTTGATAACTATGATTTTTTCAGTGGCTAATCATGGTTTGAGCAGTAAACTAAGGATTGTATTCATGCGATTTCGTTTAAGACTCGTAACAAAGGATGGGTAAGGCAGCATCAGCCACACTGTTCCGATGAGGAACTTAACCAGAAAAGTTAGAACACTTTCCAAAGTTCCCACAGCTTTTAAGTGGTTTTGACTTTAACCCGATGGTTGCGGTGGCAGAAATGAATGAACACCTCTTTTTATTAGTGGCTCTGTTGAGTCTGTACAGGGCAGCATAAGGTGACCTTAAAGGAGAAGCTGTTGAACAGGACCACCTCGACAGGTGGCTAGTCCAGCAATGCCACATCATCCCACTGCACAGGCTGGGTGCGCAGCTGTCTCACTGTTATTGCTGTGAGGTGCGCTTGGGTGGGCTCTGACTCAGTGCCCCTCCGTACAACAGAACAAAACACTACCCTGTTCTGTGCCACACTCACAAGGATTGTTGTGTTTAAGCCCATGGTTGCAGCCACTGTGTCAATCCATCTCATTGAGGGGTCTTCCACATTTTCACTGCCCTTCCCCAGGGACTGGTCCCTCTTGATAACATGTCCAAATGCTCTTCTAAGGAGCGTTCTGGTTGTACTTCTTCCAAGACAGATTTGTTCCAAATGCAGGTGGCAGGTTTTTCTCATAACAATAACATTTTCCAGATGAGGAATCTAAGGAAAAGAGATATTTAGGAAGTTGCTCAAAGTTATATAGCTAACAAGCAGCAAAGCTAATTACTGTTTAGATCTGCATTGTGCAACAGGGTAGCCATGAGTGCTGATAACCTTACACATTGGCTGCTTTGGCAAGGTCAGTAGTTCAAATCCATCAGTGGAGCCACAAACCCAGACGGGCAATTCTTCCCTGTCTATAAGGGTCTCTATGTGTTTGGTTTCTTTGGGGTTATACATAGCAATTCTGTACTTGAAATGTGACTTCTAATTGAGGAGTACATTTTAAATGTTATTTCTTTTCATTTTAAATTAAAATTCAATATTCAAATTAAAGGAATCCATAAAACATTTAAATTGGGAGCAAGTGGGGTAGTGAAGCTTTCTTCAACTCTAAAGTTTTATGAGATCAAAATACACATCTAGTATTTCTGATGAGAATTTAACATCCAAAATGAGCTGCTCTGCAAGTGTAAAATACTTACTAGCTTTCAAAGTCTTAAAATGAAAAAGAAGAATGCACAGTGTTTCTTCAGTAACTGTTTATATTAATCATAATGCTCCTTAGAGGCAAGGATGGCCAGAGTTTGTCTCATGTACTGTGTTGGGCCAGTGTGAAGAATCTTCTTTCCAGTTGGAACCTTGTGCGTCCGCATCCCAAGCAAAGTCAAAACAGGACCGGCCATCCATAAAGTCAGCAGCAATATGCACCAGTTCACAGTCCCAAAAATCTCTTCATCTGCTCAGGTTCTGGTCAACTCAATGTGGGCCGCCTCACTTAGCCCCACCAGGGTCCCCATTGGCTGCCTTACCTTTAGACCATGGGTCCGTCACAAATTCTAAACAACCCTAGCCCCTGTGTGCTAGGTCATGAACTTCATACCTGTCAACCCACTCTCTTCTTCTCTCTTCCCTGTGAATCAGGTCCATGGGTGTCAGTGGCCAGACTCAACCCATCTCTTTATTTCTGCATTTCTCCCACTTCCACTCAACAAGTGGATCCAGGTGGTTACCTAGCAAGCATTCAGCCTGTCCACAGGATCCCTTTAACAATTCAGTCCTAGAGAGGAGAGTTTCTTTATGGCTCCACATTTTTTTCTAGCTTCTGACAAAAACCACTTGTTCAAAAGTCAAAAATCCAGAGTTCCTTTTTTTTTTTCCTTCAGTCTGTCAACAGCCCCCTAGGTAAGTCTTTCACCTTCAAATTTCTGGGGAACTCAAGACACTGGGTGGGGCTTAACTTTTCAGAGTCTTCTTTGCAGGCATGTCCTAGCCCATCTAAAGATTCAAATTAATGACTGAAGGCAAGTGGGCTTACAAGTTCTCTATTTTCATACTTCCCAATAATCATTTCTATCTATCATTATATCAATAACAATAAGCAGAGGAAGACAGTATAAACCAAGTACAGCCAGATCCTAAACTCAATTCTTAAAGCAGTCAAGTATAACCTTCATGTACATTATCTTAATCCTTATCTAGTCTATTGATACAAAATATGGCCTTAGGCCTCTGGCTGCATTGCCTCGAGCCACAGCGGGACCTTCTGTCAGCCATTTTCACTAAGCAGCTTAGTGCCTGAGAAATTCAAGGGGCGATTTCTACCCCTGAGCTCAAAATATACACTAACAACATTCGTTTTTGTCATTTCAAACAGGAATAACCAAAGACAACAACCACAGAAAATGATAAAAAGTTTAACTTCCCAGATTCTTTCCAGAAAACAACCCAGTAAACTGCATGGACGTATCTGATCTCTGCCTAGCTCAAGAAGAACTACCATGAGGCAGAGCTCAAATAAGCATCCATTCTCCATCTATATGATTTGTTTCTCTAGTACCCCACTCCCAAGGTACCATAATGTGTTAGTCTGGGTTGACTGAGAAACAAATCCAGACACTCACACGTGTATAAGGGAGAGCTTTTTACCAAAGAGCAATTGTATATTAAGAAAACATCCCAGCCCAGTCCAGATCAAGTCCATAAGTCCAATATTAGCCCTTATTTCCAACACCAGTCTCAGCGCTGGTGTGCATCTCCACCTGGCTCCTATAGCTCCAGGGCTCTGGCTCCATCAGTGTATCTCCATGTGGCTTCTCAGCAAGAATATGAAGTGGAGAGTGTGAGTCTATCTGGCCTCCAGTGAGCTATTTATCTCCATGGTGCCTCCAAATGAGGTCATCAAGCTGCGACCTGATTGACAGCCTAGACTCCACCACTTTACAAGTTATGGGGAGAATATGTAACTGCCACCGCTGGGTTGACTAGAGAAACAAATCCAGTGACACACTCATGTATGTGTAAGAATGAGCTTAATATGAGGCCATTATGTACCAAGAAAACATTCTAGCCCAGGCCAACTCAAGAACATAATTCCAATACCAGTCCATAAGTCCCTCTTCAAAGTCATGCAGTCACATTCAATGCTACAGAATGCAGAAAGATCACAGGCTGGTGGGTGCAAAGTCCCATGGATCCAATTGTGCAGTTCATCACAGGGCTCTGGCACATCTCAGAGTGGCTCTCTAGCCGGAAGGTGAAGGCAGAGAGAGAGGGAAGTGCCCAGGGCCCTCCTTATAAGGGGGTCATACCCACAAGAGGGCCCCATCAGGCTGTGACCTGATTGACAGTCTAGACTCCACCCCTACACTTCAAGTTGACACAAAATTATGTAACTACCATATACATTTTGGACATGTTATCACCAGAGACCAGTCTCTGGAAAAGTAGAAGGGGAGCGGAAAAGAGGAAGGACCGCAACAGGAAGGCTGACACAGTGGCTGCAGCGATGGGCTCCAACAGAACAATTGTGAGGATGGGGCAGGATTGGACGGTGTTCCCTTCATATCTTGGTTTAGAGATATTAAAGTTCTTTCACCTGTTTTCTTTTTTTAACATGGCTATCAGAGAAGTAAAGATTACAGATGAGTATGTAGCTCCCATACTGGACTAAATAATATCTGTCTTATTATTTCTTTCTGGCATTATTAGCTTTCTTACCTTCATTATCATTCATTATTTCTGAATTATTTTATATTGTAAACATTCAGGAATGTCTCATCCTTTTTCTTCGAATAATTTTTATAGCATCATTTTGCTATTATTTATGGTGGAATATTTTGGAAAAGTTAAAAGGATAGAAATTTGCAATGGGACAGGTTTATGTCAGCTCTTTGGGAGCGGGATTGTTATGACTTATAATCATATCTAGTTGGAGCATATACCAGTATGTATCATATGCATTTGTATTGTAAAGCATAGACTAAGCATCTATCTTTTTTTTCCCAAAAGTCTTTTTTTTTTCCTCAAAACTCTCCCATCTATCATTTTTACTCTCACTGATTTAAAATTTCTTAAAGAGTTGTATTTTTTTTCTTCCCTGTGTTTTTAGTTTCTTGGGGAAGCTATTTTGATTTTGCAATAAATTGGAATAAACATATCGAGGATGCAAATGTTAAAGTTATATTATATGAAGACCTGAAAGAGGTAAGATTATTTTTATTGAAGAGTTTTCTATAGACTATGACATAGAACATTTAGTTATAAGGTCTGGTTATATGATCAAACATTGTGTTCAATTTTTTTTAAAAAGAAGAGTCCAGACATGTAATTCAGTCAATGTATAAAATCAAACAATGTATAAGTGCTTTTATTTAACCAGAATTAAATAATGTTCAGCAACTCATTACTAGCAATCATGGGTTTATTTTCCTTTTATGATAACTCAGAAGACGTGCCGCCATAGAATCGCGGCTGACTCATAGTGACCCTGTAAGACAGTATCTAACTGACTGTGGGTTTCCAAGACTGTGACTGTTTACAAGAGAAGAGAGCCCTGTCTTTCTGTTTGGGGACTGATTTCTCCATTGGAACGAATGGTGGTTTCTAACTGTGGACCTTGCAGTTAGCAGCCCAATGCATAACCCCGGTGGCACCAGGGCTGCCAGAAGAAGCCAGCTCCTAGCACAATCACTACGGGTTTGGTAGGCGCAATTGTACAGCGATAATAAGTAAATATTAAAGGTATAGAGAGCATGAGAGATAAAAGAGATATATAGAAATAAATGGAGTCAGACACATTTCATGGTAGCATGCTCACCTCAGCCCCGCTTGGTAATCCACGTGGAGGGAGAGCGAACTTTAATGCTCCCCAAGCTTTTATACTCTCTGGGGACATTGGGGACGTGCAAGCCCCCACATTACAGGTGAAGACATACGTCACAGGAAAGGGTTGTGCTACAGGTATTACAGTGATGGGAGGGGGTGATCTAGGGACATATGCACTATGGAAGGAGGAGGGATTGGGGGTGTACATGCGGCAAGATAGGCGGATCCTATTGAAACTAGAAATTAAAATTAATACAGAGTATCTTAAAGAGATCCCCCAAATACTGATACTTCAAAAGGAAATCTAAAAGAGAGAGAAAACAGACAAATTTTTCCGGAAGTTAGACTCACTGCTTTGTTTTTGTTACACAAACATTGTGTAACAAGCCTATCTTTGCTCAGAGCACCAGCCTCCACAATTGAACAGGTCCAAGGGGGTCGCTGTGTAATTGAGGGGTAAAATTAAAGAGACATCAGACAAGATAAAGCATACCAGTGCTCACCTCTGGGGCCACCATGAACTCAGAAGCCAGGTCCGTGCAGAGAGAGAGGATATATTTCCGACTAGGGACATGCAAGCCCCCTTAATTACAGGTAACCACATGTTTAACAGGAAGGGGTTGTGTAATAGGCATACATGTGGACATGTAACAAGATGGGCAGGCTCTAGAATCAGGATGGCAGCCTAACCATGGTCATCCCTGAGTTGGCTTGACCTTAGGTGTCTTTGGGCTCTCCTTCAGGGGAATCACCCTTATAGGAAGAGAGAGGGCTCTACTTAGAGTGGTACAGACAGTAGGGTCTGATTGCTCTAGATGCCTGATAACCTTCAGGCAGATAACCTTTCAGCAGTTGACCTCCAAGTGTACAGTCAGGGACCATGTGTTTGCAAGCAGCACCTTAGGGTTTGCACATATTATGGGGGGACAACCTGGGGAATAACTCTTCTGTTCCCACAAAGTCCCAAAGCAAGAAGTTTATCCTTTGACATTTTGTTTCCAGAATTTGGCCTCTGGAATAAAACAAATCGCTGCGTTCCTTGGCTTCTCTGTAACGGGGGAGCAGGTTGAAACTATCTCAGCCCAGACCACCTTCCAAGCAATCCGAGCAAAGTCCCAGGAGACACATGGCGCTGTTGGCCCCTTCCTGTTCCGCAAAGGTAACATTGAATTAGTTTCTGGGATGTTGAGTCAGGGAATGAATTTGTCGGCATGTACTAGACAATCCAAATAATACTGGCTTAAACTAGACAGGAGTTTATTTTCCTGAACTCTAAAGAGAAGTCTGAAGTTCAGAGCTGAGACAGACAGCTCCACTGAGACAGCTCAGTATATTTTGAGATTACATCTATCTTTCTACTTGTCACCTGATGCGATGAGGTAGCCGCTGGAGCTCCACCGTGACTTTCAAAATCTAGGTAGGGAAAGGGGAACAGGCAAAGAGCAGAATCCTGGATGAGCCCCTTTCAAGTTGTGCTGAAAGCCTCATCCTCTTGGTGCAGTGATAGCTGGGAAATGTGATTCTGTTTTTTGTTTTTAAACATTTGCCAGGTCACTCCGCAGTTAATATTAGAAATGTGTTAATAGGGGTCAAAGAAGGAAATGACTGTTAGATAGACAACTAGTTGTCTCGGACACAGGTGAGTTTTCTAATTTAGTAAGGCATTTTACATTCTTACAGAGACTTAGGATAATGTAGCTTAGCAATCGCCAATCTTCTGTAGTTTATGTATATAATAAAGGCATAAAGGTATGGCGGTATCACAACAATGACATCAGCTATCGCTTATCAGGGATATGACATGTTCCTATTAAAAGAACTTTTCCTCGGTTTTCCATTTACAACAAAGAGGGTAGTATGCTTAATTTTTCAAATCAAGAAGAAATATTCTAATAACTGTCTGGGTCTACTTTTTGTCTGTGTCTGCATGTTACAGGAGAAGTTGGTGATTGGAAAAATCTGTTCAATGAAGCTCAGAACCAGGAAATGGATGAAAAATTCAAAGAGTGCTTGGCAGGCACCTCCCTAGGAACCCGGCTGAAGTATGAATCGTATTGTCAGGCCTGAGTCTGGGCACAGCTGGAGGCCCAGGATTTTCTTATCCTTCAAACTAATCAGAATGATGAACTACTCAGTAACATTATTAAGTAATGATAATTGAATAAATAACATTTCATCTTAGCAACACTTATCAGATGATAAAATCTGATTTTTTAAATAAACATTTTTATTGGGACATAATCCAAATATGTAATTCAATAGTTCAATAGTATCCAGAAGAGTTGTGTAATCATTTCCACAATTATGGAATACGGTCTTATTTCTTGTACTTCTCTATTTCGCCCGAACTTCCCCTGTATACCCACTAATTAATTAATTAGGGAACCACTAATCCAGTTACTGTCTCTATAGTTTCATCCATCCAGGGTTTCATATACTGAAAAACATACAAAACCACAAAGCAAGAGTAAAAAGAGCCAACAACAATAACAAAATAAAATAGAGAAAAGCCCCAGTTGAAAAGAAGACAGAAAATATGAAAAACTAGAAACTGTAAAATGGGTCGAAGGGGAGAACAAGTGATAAGGTCTTAGATGTTTAACCTAGTTATATCATAATTCATTTTCCAATGAGTTTTGGGCTCACACTGAATTCTAGCCAAGTAAGAACAATTCATTTTTATGACATGGGTGTCCTTGATATGTGCCCTCATGAAGAGATCATTAGGTAGGGTCCTCTAGAGAAACAATACCAGGACACTTATGATCTATATATATATATATGATGAGCTAGATATATATATCAATATATGCTAGATAGTGAGAAGGAATATAACAACTAATTAGTCCACACAACAATACAGAGGGCTCAGTTCAACTCACCTTTGTGGAACAGTTAATATACTGAAAGTCCATCAACTCATGCTGGCTGCTGGTCCAAGGTCAAGGAAGCAAACAGGAGAATCTGCCCTCAGGCAAGAGAAGCAGAGTCGTCCCACACGCAGCAGAAGGCAAGGTGGGGCAGCAACAGTCAGTAGCACTAGCGCTTATCAAGGCAGGCCCCATTAAATCTCAAACTCTAGCAGAAGCACAGGTTGGCTTGGCCCACAGATAGTGCAGCACATGGTTGAGGCAAGGGACTAGCTCAAGCAATGGCATGCTGGGCTGATCACCAGGGACACAAAGAGATGGAGGCTGGCCTCCGAAAGCATTTATCTCCATTGCCCTCCAATCTAGCTGCGACCTGATTAAACTCCGTCACATGTTCCTACAGAAACCTAGTTGGCACAATAAACAAACCTAACCATCACAGGTAGAATGGTGGCTTAGATAACCTAAAAAAAACCCTCTCCTTAAAATTTCAAAAATTAAAAAAAAATTTTTTTTTAATCCTCTAAATGAATAGGCCCAACTAGATAAGCAGATTCTTCACAGACCAAAGCCAAATAGAAAATAGACCAGGGAAAACTGAGAGACAGGATTAGGTGCTGACTTGAAAGAATTAGAAGAACAAAGAATCAGTGCTGCCATTTGGGAGGTTTGCTGCTACCAAAGAGACTTGGAGTTGCTGATGTCTCCGTCCATTTGACTGATGCAGGAGAAGACAAATAGACGAAGGGAATAAGACCGAGGCTCCATATCAGCCACGTATGTAGTGAACTTGAAATATGACAGAGGTGACATTTTGTAACTTAGGAGATATTAAGCTCTTCAACCTTCAATACGTAGACAGTTGGTTATGATAAGACATAATCAGATCCTTGCTTTTACATCGATCACAAAACTTAATTTTTATTAGTTTTTAAAAGTGGTTGAAGCACTTGGCTGTTGACTGGCAGGTTGGCAGTTTGAACTCACCCGAAAGCACCTTGGAGAAAAGGCCTACTTAGTTCTCGCGAGATCGCCGCTTGGAGAGCTCCATGGAGGGCAGGTCCGCTCTGCTCACCGGGGTCACGATGCACAAGAATCAGCTCCGTGACGGCTGGTTGGCTGTCTTCGAAAAGGAACACAAATCTGTAAAAAGTAGAAGCAAACATATTTTTAGGACCGTCACATAGGACAGACAAGAAACAAAAAACACAAACTAAAAGGAAACACTTTCTAGATTTGCCTGCATTCCATTAAAAAAAATAATAATGTTTGCTTGTGTTTTCAGTGAAGGTTTACGTAGCAGGTTAGGTCCCCAGGCAACAATTTTTACACAGATGTTCAATGCTACAGCTTATACTTTTCACAATACAGGTACTTTCTTCGTTTTAACTTTTTAGTGTGAATTGAGTGAAGGTTCCAGGGTAGATCATCACTTTTACATTGAACAATTCATACACGTTTGCTTTTTGTTTTAGTGCAATCTTCACAATGTAAGATCACTTGTCCCACTTCCTCCCTGTGTTTCTGTTTCTAGTCTTGCTTCCTTCCTAACCCTTCTGAACTTGGTCCTTGGGTAAAGCTTGCCCTTTTGATCTCACACGATTAATTATTTTAAGATGTGAGTACCTCACCAGTGTTACTGTTCCCGTGATAAACCTGTCTGTGGTTTAACTGAAATTTGAGCTGCACGGGTCCAGACCTAAAAGGTAACTAAGCCCCAAATCTTGGAGGTTCTACCAGTGTCTATCAAACCAGTAAGCCAGGTTTATTATGATGCTGAGCTTTGTTCCCTATTTTTGTCCCATTCTGGCCAGGCTCTGATGTGATCCCTTTCAGAGTAATTGCTTGTAGCCAGGCACCATCCAGGAGACTGTCGGTCCTCGAACCTTTGTATGGTCCATTGGTTCACTGAACTCCTTGCTTCCACGGGCCTCTGCTTTTCTCCACTCTTCTTTCTCCAGACAGGGAGAGACCAGTGGCTGCATCTTTGCTGACCTTCGGTGGCCACTGAGGAGTTTTCATACATCCGCCATTACTCACCAAAGAAAGAACTAGAACATTATCTTTGTGGATCTGTTATGTAATTGCCCTTGCTTGCCTCCCGGACTGTAGTCTTGAGTCCCACGGCCCTGTGACCCACTTCCTCAAGGCTTTTGGTTATAGCTGAGAGCGCTTCATAGCTTTGCCCCTGTGCGCTCCACCATATGCCTGGATATAACTGCAGCAAAGGTAAATACACATGTACAAGGATCTTATTCCAAACTTACATGTATTCATGGGCATAAACAAACAAACTCACTGCCATAGAGTCAATTTCAACTCATAACAACCTTGTAGGACAGAGTAGAACTGCTCCTGTGAATTTCTGACATTAAAACTTTTTAAGGGAGTAGAAAGTCCTGTCTTTCCCCCTTAGAATGGCTGGTGGCCTCGAACAGCTGACCTTGTGGTTTTGCAGCTCAAAGTGTAACCACTATGGCACCAGGGCTCTTTTATACTCCCACAGGACATTACCATTTAACACAGTGGTTCTCAACCTTCCTAATGCCGAGACCCTTTAATACCTCATGTTGTGGTGACCCCCAACCATCAAATTATTTTTGTTGCTACTTCATCACTGTCATTCTGCTACTGTTATGAATCGGGCAACTCCTGTGAAAGAGTCATTCGACCTCCAAAGGGGTCGCGACCCATAGGTTGAGAACTGCTGATTTAACACTTTGGTAAAAAGTGCACCATTTCATAAGTGAAAATAAATGAGATGGGTGGCATGGTATGACATAGACTGGAAGAAGATACTAAACAAAAGGCTTACATCTATGCTACTTAAAAAATAAGAATAATTATAAATCAATAATTTAAATTATCACAAATAATTACAAATAATTATATACAAAATAAGAATAATTATAAATCAGCCATTATACAGGATAGGTAACTTAATTTTTAAAAAGCTAAAGGATATAGATAGGATATAGAAATTTATAAAAGGATAAAAACCAGATGGCCAATAAATATGTCATGAGGAAAATGTATAATTGGGAAATATAGGGGGAGTGGGGAGGGAGGGGAAAAATGAGGAGCTGATGCCAGGGGCTTAGGTGGAGAGCAAATGTTTTGAGAATGATGAGGGTAATGAATGTACAAATGTGCTTTACACAATTGATGTATGTATGGATCTCGATAAGAGTTGTATGAGCCCCTAATAAATTGATTTTAAAAAATTGGGAACTATACAGATGAAAAGGAAGTGAGAGACATCTGGAAATGCAAGATGAGCTGCTATGGGGATTATCCTTTCACCACAACAATCAGAAAACTGGACAAAATCTCTGCAGCAGCTGTCTTCAAACACTGGAAACAGACAGGGGAGTGCTGAGCGAAGTAAACAGAGGGGGTGAGCCCCGAAATGCCCCAACTTATTTCCTTGGAGCGTGTCTTTCCCCTGTGTGTCTCTGACGATTTTGGCCTTTTATAAAATTATTAGGAGCCCTAGTGGTAACTGGTTACAAATTGAGCTGCGATCTGAGTGTCAGCAGTTCGAAAACACCAGCAGCTCCTCAGGATAAAGACTGGCATATTATTCCTGTAAACAGTTACAGGAACCCCGCGGGGGTCACTAGGAGTCAGCTTTGACTCATCGCCTGATGGCAGTGAGTTTGGTGTGGTTTTGGATAAAAGTATTAGGTATAAGATCCACCCTACACTGTGGTGGTCTTCTTAACATAACAAAAGAAAAGACAAACAGGATCACATCCACATTTACAATCAGGGGTTCAAAACACGGTATTTTAGAAATATAGCATTCAATCCATAACCGTCACAGGTATAAGATCCACCCTACACTGTGGTGGTCTTCTTAACATAACAAAAGAAATGACAAACAGGATCACATCCACATTTACAATCAGGGGTTCAAAACACGGTATTTTAGAAATATAGCATTCAATCCATAACCGTCACAGAAGAGAAAATGCTGAAAAGAAAGTTAAATATATGAATCTGGAATTTAGCAAAATGACCTTTGCTATAAATTTGCAAGTTCTCGGCATGTAAATAATATGTGCATTACATGTTTATCCGTTTACTGTATTGTGGTGGCTCCCGTGTGGATATAATGCTGGCAACTCTGCCACTCGTATTTCAAATACCATCAGGGTCATTCATGGTGGACAGCTTCCAGATTAAGACAGACTAGGGAGAAAGGCAGGAATCCTGGTGGCACAGTGGTTAAGTGTTGGACTGCTAACCACAAGGTTAACAGTTCAAAACCATCAGCTGCTCCTCAGGAGGAAGATGAGGCTTTCTACTCCTGTAAAGAGGTACATTCTTAGAAACCCACAAGAGCAGTTCTACCCTCTCCTGTAGGCTATGAATTGGAATTGCCTTGATAGCAGTGAGGTTTTTTTTGGGGGTGGGTTGTGGGGGGGTTAAGGGAGAAAGACCTGTGTATCTACTTCTGAACATTAGCCAAGGAATGTCTTTGGATCGCAATAAAATATTGTCAGGCCAAACAATCATATGGATGAGAATGAGGGGGAGGGGCAGGGTGGGCAGAGTGGAAACCCAAAGCCCACCTGTAGACAATTGGACATCCCTCACAGAAGGGTCACAAGGAAGGGATGAGCCAGTCAGGGTACAGTGTAGCACCAAAAAAACATATAACACTCCTCTAATTCTTCCTACCACTATCATGACCCCAGTTCTACCTTACAAATCTGGCTAGACCAGAGCATGTACACTGGTACAGATAGAGCTCTGGACACATGGAATCCAGGACAGATAAACCCCCCAGGAACAATACTGGGAGTAGCGATACCAGGAGGGTAGGGGGAAGGTGGGGGAAGAAAGAAGGAACTGACCACAATGATTGAATTATAACCCACCCCCACCCCCCACCCACCAAGGGTGACGAACAACAGAAACATGGGTGACGGGAGACAGCAGACGGTGTAAGATATGAAAGTAATCATTTATAATTTATCAAGGGTTCATGAGGCGGGGAGGGGGAAAAATGAGGAGCTAATACCAACGGCTCAAGTAGAAAGAAAATGCGTTGAAAAGGATGATGGCAACATATGTGCAAATGTGCTTGACACAATGGATGTATGGATTGTTAAAAGAGCTGTAAGATATAGATATAGATATTCAAGCATAGTGCTGGAATATGAGCCCCTATGTTGAAGGCATTCAACACACAATGATTGCCAGGATGGCCACAAAGATACCGATGGTCAAGACGGCACAGGCCCTGACAACATTTTGTGTTGTTGTACACGGGTGTCTATGCGTCAGAGTCAACGGGACACCACAACCAACCACCGCCACCACAGACAGTATTTAAACCCACGAAACTGGGTGATACCAACAAAGAGATGTAACCAGAGAAGAAAAGGGGCCCAAGGATTGAATCATGGAGTCCTGAGCAGTCAGAGGGCGGACCGGAGAAGAGCCAGCAATGCCTGAGAGCAGCAGCCAGTAGGAGACTGACGTGCTGGAAGCCACATGGAGAAAGTGAGTGAGGGGAAGGGTGATCAGCTGATGCGGGGCAGCACCAGGGATGTGGGACTGCAGAGGAGCACAGCAGGGGGCTGCGTTTGAAGTGGTCATCGGGTTCTTCTCCACAGTTCTTTTCCTGTGTGTTTGAACTATGTTATCATTTAAACGTCAATAAAAGGAAGACAAGGCCCACAATATTTAAGGCAATCCCCACCATCCCCAAGGTTAAAGCAATTTTGAAAATGTTATGAATTTGGGTGGGCCTTGCCTCTGCCTTCAAAGTGAGATTCTACGTCCTGATATGCGTCTTGTTGTGGTGAGATTATTTCAAGTCGAATTAAAGAAAGTCATACCTGGAAGGAACTTTGTCAGCATCTCATCCTCTCCTCCCGTTATAAGAATGAGACTCCTAAGGGCAGGAAATGTGTTCATCCTTCCACCTTCTATCAGATGGGAGGTCCTTGGCCCCCGGGAAATCACTGAGCACATCCTTGGAAATGAACAAACGTAAATGAACTGAGAATCTGATAAGTTAACTGTCTTACTTCGGGCCCACCCACCATATCAATATAAATAAACTGATAATGATTTCATAACCATGTACATGTGTGGACTAAAGATAAAAAAGACCTTAGAAGTGAGCAAAGCAAATGAATTCATCGGTCGTATTTGAAAGAAAGGGCCAGAGAGACACGGTACAAAAGAATGCTGACCCTCAGCAATCGCCCAACACAGGAACAACAGGAATTGATTTTCATCTGCTACACTGTAAGGGAATTATATTTGATACACACGAGATTCATGTGTGTGCATCTGCTGAGTTGGTTTACCCCTGTACATTTTGTGGTTTACCCCTGTATATTTTGTAAGATAGATAAGCAAACCTATGGATGAACGATGGGTCACTAGCCATATTGATCGTATATTAAGGCCATCTTGGAAAGTTAACAAAGCTGCTTCTGTTCACTCTGTCTATTGAGACAGGAGGTGTCTCAGAAGCCCTCCTGCTACCTCATCTCTGAATTAATTCAAAAGAATATTGCCAGCAAGAAAAGCACTGAGTGTGTGCTTTTTCGTTCCATATCTCGGAACAAATGGGCTAGTCGAAGGAATCACATTATCTTTTCAGGCATCTCCCAAGTTGTTTGTTCTGTTTTTTAGGAAGTCCAGGTGCCCTGTGCAGAAATAACTTACCGAAGAGAGAGGAGTTTCTCTTTCTATTTCCTGAATAACGCTATGTTCTTCTAGTGAATCATTCGTTTGTCATGCTAGTCTGACTGGATAAGAGAAAGAACCCTCCCGGGTATTCTCCCCAGCCGTCCCACTCTCTATCCACCTATTTGTCTGTCTGTCTGCCTACCTAGATAGCTACCTACACATTGTCCAAACTATCTTCCTTTAGAAATTGCTTCCCTTCCTGTAGAAGTTCATGTCTTAGAAACAATCAAGCATATGGAGTCGTTTTTGTGCTTTGTATTTCCAGCAAAATGCTGCACACAGTAAATAAATATTTGTGGAATACATTAATAAGTGAAGAGATTATTCCCCCCCCTCAAAGTGTCTTTTAGAATATCAGAGCAGTTAAAATGTTTTTTGAGGTCATCAACAGAAATCAAACCCAAATTGGGGTATAGGGGAAAACAGGAGGAGGGATGCCTTAAATGACCAGTCCGAGGTGGGTCTAGCTTCAGGTGTTGCTCTATCCAGGGCTCAATAAGGAAGTGATTCTTAATACTCCCTTCCTAATTCTAATCCCTCAGTGCAGGCTCCCTTTGCGGGGAATTTTCTCGGATGTCTTATTTTGTGTTCAGTACAGGAAACCAGGAGGTCCCTAGGTGAGCAAATGATTTGCCTTTGGCTGCTAACCCACCCGGTGGTACCTTGGAAGAAAAAGCCTGGAGATGTTTTGCTAAGATGCCTGCTAAGCAGCGCTGAGGGAACCCTTCGTCCCTGGAACACGTGGGGTCACCAAGAATCCGAATGCACTCACTGGCGACTTCCAACAACAGCAAAGGGACGTGGAGCAGATTTAGTAGGAAGTTACTGAAAAAAAAAAACCAAAAAAACAACCCTTACTGCCATTGAATCAATTCTGACTCATAGCCACCCCCAAGGGCAATGTAGAACTGCCCCTGCAAGTTTCTGAGGCTGTACCTAGTTACAGAAGGAGAGAGCCTCACCTTTCTCCCTCGCACTGGTGGGTGGTTTCAAACTGCTGACCTTGCAGTTAGCAGCCTGACTCGTAACCACTACACCACCAGGGGTCCCCTCATTGGAAATTAGTACTTCTGTAATCGTTGGACTGGAGGAATAGCAACCAAGAGGCTCCCACTGTAGATGCCACTGCCACTGCTTCTGCCACTACCACCTCCATGGATGTCCCGTGTCCGTGGGCAATTGACAAAGGGGCCTGGATTTCAGTTCCTGCAAATGTCCCCGGGCATGACAGTTTGCTTGTCAGCTTGTGCTGGGTTGCAAGGATGGCCTTCTCCTCTCTTCTGTCTTCCAAATCTATGCCACTGCTTGTCGTGGGCAAATTACATGCAGAATGTTAACTCCATAAAATGATAGAAAACATAGTTTTATATATTATGATCTAGATGATGAGGAGCTACAGCAGGAATGAGAAGGGAAACTAGCTAAGTGTGAACAGTATCTAGCATAGCCCACTCCAACCGATTATCTTTCAAGCAAGCAACAACAGTATGTTCCCCTCTTAGTTTGCCCTTCCAAATGAAATCAAGGCTCCCCTCTTCCCATAAATCTGCATGCTTTTTGCTATGTGATACTCCTTTTCTATTTCAATAGAAAGCCTACCAGAAGACACTCTACTTAAAGGTTATTTTTATAAAATTACCCACAACCAACAAATCTTCATAAAAGAAAGGGGAGAAATAATAACAAGAAATTCATTAGTACGTACAGCAAGGAAGCAAACATGCATAGCTTCTATAGTCTTTTGTTCTACAAATGGTCATGAGGCCATAGTTGATGTTTATAGCTTCTTTCTGCTCTGTTCCTCTTGCCTTCGGAAAGGTAGCCAGCTAGTGGAGTGATAAAATCCTTCAATGCTGAAGGATCTGAGACCTTCCTTAACAATCCAATCTGTGTTGGACAACTGAAGAATTGACATTTATCAATGAATGTGGAGTTGCTAGGAGAAACCCCAGGGGTCCCTCTTGGTTTCAGGCTCTTCCCTGATTCCATTGCATACTTAGGAAAACTATATTCCCTTGTTGGTGAGGGTAGCATTAGTTGACACCAACCCAGAGATACTCTCTGTACAGTCCGGTGCCGTCACTATTCTTATGGTTGAGCCCTTTGTTACAGCCCGGTATCAATCCATTTCCTTAAGGCTCTTCCTCTTTTTCGCCGCCCCTCTACTTTACCAAGCATGATGCCCTTTTCCAGGAACTAGTCTCTCCGGTGAACATGTCCAAAGCATGTGAGATGAAGTCTCGCCACCCTCACTTCTAAGGAACTTTCTGGCATTTTCCAAGACACATATTTATTTGTTCTTCTGACAGTCCAGGGTTCTTTGACAGCACCATAATGAACTGTATCCATTCTTATGTGGTCTTCTGTATTCATTGTCCAACTGCCACATCCGTATGAAGTAATTGAAGAATCCCATGGCTTGGATAAGGTGCACCTTCATCCTCAAGGCAACCTCCTTGCTCAGCACTATAAAGGTGTCTTGTGCCCCAGATTTTCCCAGCACAATACATCATTTGATTTCCTGACTGCTGCTTCCACGAGCATTAACTGTGGATCCAAGTAAACTGACTACTTTAATCTTTTCTCCACGTATAATGTCTTTTTTTCCAGTTGTGAGGATCTTTGTTTTCTTTACATTGAGTTGTGATCCATATTGAAGGCTGCAATCTTTGATTTTCATCAACAAGTGCCTCAAGTTTGCCCTGCTTTCAGAAAGCAAGGTTGTGTTATTTGCATGTTGGAAGTTATTGTTATTAAATTTTCCTCATATAGTCCAGTTTCTTGGATTATTTGCTCAGTATACTGACTGAATAAGTATGAAGAGAGGATACAGGCCTAACATACACATTTTCTGGTTTTAAACCATGGAGCATCCCTTGATTTTGTTCAAATGACTGCCTTATAGTCTAGGAACAAGTTTCACATGAGCACAGTGTTTTGGAATTTCCATTCTTCTCAGTGTTACCCATACTTTGTTATAATCCACATAATGAATGCTTTTGCATTGTCAATGTGTTAGGCTGGGTTCACTAGAGAAACAAATCCAGAGACACTCATGTGTGTGTGTAAGAGAGCTTTATATCAAAGAGCAATTGTAGACTGAGAAAACATCCCAGCCCAGTCCAGACCAAGTTGTTAAGCCTGACGTTAGCCTATGTGTCCGATATGAGTCCACAAGTTCCTCTTCAAACTCACACAGCATATGACAATGATGCCGAATGGAGGGAGATCGCAAGTCAGTGGGTGGAAAGTCTTGTGGATCCAATGTCAATTGATGCATCTCAGCACTGGTCCAGGTCGCCTTGTGGCTCCTCCAGCTCTCTGAGGGTGGCTCCTCAACAGGAAGGTGAAGCAGAGTGAGTGTGGCCCACCTCCAGAGAGAAAGAGAGGAAGTTCCCAGAATCCTCATGAGAAGGCCACGCCCACAAGGCTGCATCATCAAGCTGTGACCTGATTGACAAGCTAGACTCCACCCCTACACTTATTTATCAAGTTGACACAAAATTATGTAACTACCACAGTCAATGAAACACAAGTAAAATGTACCATTGCTGCCATTTTGAAATTATCTTCAAATTTTATTAGCATGTTATATTAATTATATTATTCAATAATTTGTACATTCTTTGAATTGCCTGTTTTCAGAATGGGCACAAATATGAATCTCATTAAGTCATATGAATGGATAGCTGTCTCCCAAGTTTCTTGGCACAGATGAGTGAGTAATTCTAGTGACTCATCAGCTTACTGAAGCTTCTCCATTTTTATTCTATCAATTCCTGGAGTCTGGGTTTGGGCTAACGGCTCCAAGGCAACTTAGACTTCTGCCTGCAGTATCCTTGGTGCTTGATCATGTGCTACTTCTTGAAATAACTGAATGCTGACCAGTTCGCTTTGGTACAGTGACTTTGTATTCTTGCCATCTTCTTTTGATGCTTTCTGCGTCATTCAATATTTTGCCCATAGAACCCTTCAATATTACAACTCTTGGTTTGAATTCCTCATCTATTTCAATTTGAGATATGTTGCATGTGTTCTTTTTGTGTGTGCTCCCCATACCAGGCTTGAGCACATTTCATTAAAATATTTGATTTTGTCTTCTAACGTTACCCTTTGAAATGTCCCATTTGGTTCTTTCACTTTATTGCTGATTTCATTTGCTTTAGCTACTCTATACTCAAGGGCAAGTTTCAGAGTATCTTCTGACATTCACTTGGTCCTTTTCTTTCTTCCTTGTCTTTTCAATGACCTTTTGTTTTATTCTTGGTGTTCTTGAATGTCATCCCACAGCTCACTAGGTTTTGTTATTAGTGTTCAAACCTGTTCTGGATATGTTCTCTAAATTCAGATGGGATATTCTCATGGTTGTATTTGGATATTTGTAGACCTACTTTAATATTCTTCAGCATCAACCTGAACTTACATATGAGCAATTGATTATTTGTTCCACAGTCAGCCTCTGGTCTTGTTTTGGCTGATGATATTGAGATTCTTCATCATCTCTTCCCAAATAACTCTAAAACTCACTGCCACTGAGTTGATTCTGACTCATAGCAACCCTGTAGGACATGGTAGAACAGCCCCTGGGGATTCCTGAGACTGTAACTCTTTACAGGAGCAGAAAGCCTTGAGTTTATCCAGAGGAATGACTAGTGCTTTCAAGCCTCTGACTTTGTGGTTTGGAGCCCAACTCCTAAAGCACTGTGCCCAAAAGGCTCTTTTCAAGTGACTATTAAATGTACTGCTCAGCTTAAATCGTGAACTCCTAATTTGTAGAAGGCTATGGAGGACAATGGGAGCCACCTGTAAAGTATCTAGTCAGATTAAGCCTCTGGCAGATGCCCTGACCTGGACAGCTTACCTATCAGACCAAGACTATTGTAAACTTTATTGTGGTTCATCGAACCATGGTATAATATGATACTTGGCCGGTCAGCCTCCATTTTGGCCCAACTTAAATTTGCTCTAGGCTTAAATATTTCTCATTGATTCCACAACAGAAATTTCTTGTTTTTTAAAATATTGTTGGTGGTCTTTCTTACACTGTATCTGTATTATTATCTTTATATATACATTTTTCTTTCTCTTTCATTTTGGTTTTGTTTTTTATTATTTATGTTAGGTTTCCCACTTTATGAAACACAGAAGGAATGGATGAACAGAGACAATAACTGACGCAAAGGTAAATCAGGGGCAGGGACTGGGGAGTGTGAGGGGGATGGGGGAGCAAACAATGAAACAGGAGGGGAGGAAGCACTAGAACTGATGGTGATGATGTATCTATAACTCTTTTTTAAAGTGACTGAACAATGGAAGTGTATTTTTATATCAAGAAAACCACTAAAAAAAATCCAAAGTTAACCCATGGCTACCATGGGTAAAGAAGGAAGGGTTTTTACTTAGGGAGCATCGAGTTTATGTTAATGGTGCTGGAATAAATTGAAAAAGGATAGCAACAATGGTTGCATAACAGAGTTTAAGCACTGGCACCGAAATACACATACAAAAGATAGTGAGTTGAGAATGTTTTGTCGTGTATATTTTTGCCACATTTAAAAAATATATATTAATAACAAATACAACGAAAAAGAAAATGTGCTAAAATCGATTGCGGTGATGACTGTACAACTCTTCTTGTTATGATTGAGCTATTGAATCGCATGATATGGGCAAGAGGTGCCACCGAAACTGTAATTAAAAATTAAATTAAAAAATAAATAAATGTACTGCTCAAAGTTTTGCCAACTGGTA